TTTCCACTTATTAATACCAAGGCGCATTGCACACAAAATACAAATCATAACCGCCTGCTCTTTTACCAACCATAATTATGTTATAGTAATTACAAGTTAACCAAATGGGCACTACATCGCGCAACTCCAGGACGCACCATCCGAAAACCAGTGGAAACATAAAGGCTGCAGCTATGTTGCTATATGATGAATTTTTAATGACATTCAAATAATCTTAACGCCATCACCATTAGCTTTGATAAAGATTTCCTTCTCATGGCCTACGTGATATATTATGTGTTGTTCGTTATAATATAAAGCCTTTGTGTACCATCGCTGTATACAGTAGCCCAGCTGTACGTCTGACACTACCAGCATTCAATTAAAAAAATGGGTAGAAGATCATAAGAGATTATGTAACATCTGAAATGTATCTTGTGGTTTTCATGTCGATGTGCTTGCTTGGCCAATCTCTTCTGCCATTCCGAAAACGCTAAAGCATTGCAAAAAACGCAAGAATCCAAACCCAACCAGGCAACAGTTCTAAATGGCTTTATGTTCGACACGATTAAAAAAAGAGTGAACTGCGTTAATGTACAACAAAGGAATTCATTAGATCAGGTCAGTCAAGTACAACCATACAATTATTCTTTACTATAAAAATAAAGATTCAGCTTCTACGCCATCTATTATCACATTTACACATATCACATCTGCTTTTTACAACAAGATCTAATGCCTCGCGATTTTCACCAAAGCTTAATGTTTTGCAGGCAGTTGATTCACACTATGGCACACAGTAATGATTTTGTACCAAATACCTTACGAACGAGACAATTTTTCACGAGATGTTATTACGAACTTTCAGAATATCCAATGTCCGACGAAAATTTTCATGTTGTTACAGAAACTTATATTAAGCAACAATTCTCACTGAACGGTTGTGTAGGTATTAGTTACTACCTAATTGTCTCGTTTTTTCACAAGCAAGATTTGCACGGACTTTTTGGCCAGCTCGCTGTCCTGATATGCATCCCCTTGATTTCTATTTGTAGGGTCATCTAAAGGCTATTGTTTATAAAACTCCTGTACTAGGTGGAATAACCCGAAGAATCGGATAATTGACAGTTGTAATGTCATAAGGAACACGCCCGGTCCATTTGAGTGACAAATGGATTGTAGTCGTGGATCTGTGTAAGGTGGACATTTTGCTCATTTTTAGGTTGACATTGCTTGTTTTTAACTTTTGGTTATTTTATGTTGTCCATAGACAGCTTTCAGAATAGGTTTATGTGACTTTCATTTCTTTTTTCTCGAAGACGAAGCTAGATATGAAAAAAACACTCCAGGCAAAAAGTTGTATTTTTGATTGATTAACCTGAAGGACATGAAAATTGCAAAAAATTCAATGGCGTAGTTTTTTCATAATAATATGGCCGTGGTGCCTACAGAGATGCCCCACAAGGCCTAACAATTTCAATCTAGTCTGAGCTAAATATGCGCCTCGTGACTTCAAGTAATTGAACCAAATTTCAACCAAATCGATTGATTCAATGATATTTATGATATAAATACCATTTTTTTGTTCAACGCTTTATCCCAGAAAAGAAAAAACTCCGGACATATGTCTATAAAAACACTTTTTCTCAAAACGAAGTAACGAACCACCCTCCGAAGTTTTTTACCGTAGTTAAAAAAACATCCAATATTTTGGGTATCATCCGCTGGAGAGCCTTAGACTTTATAATGTTACCATATGAATATTGAAAAATATTCGACAGCGGAATCATAAAATAATTCTTAGTTTCCATGGAATTTTGAGCGCTACTTTAGCACTGACATGCTCTCAGACGACTTAGTTTTCCTTTTGTTGCTGTCTATCCATAAGAGGTTGAGTGCACTGGAATAGTTAAAGAGTAGCTAACGTGCACTTGCAATTTACTTTTTTTCGTAGTGCATTTCGCTCCATCTACTATCCACAATTAGCTTGACCCAGAAATGTAGCCGAGGCTAATTATTATATTCCTCGCTGCTAACGGCTTGTTACAAATGTACAAGGCGGTAGGAAGATATCTCAATCTAACGTTCATGCACAGAAAACGTTGAAAATTTTTTGTGAATTGTGGGGTAATGAGTGAGTATGAGGCTTGGCGTCAGATATATTGAGGTATTCTCCATACGGTTCACGAAACCATTGATGAAAGACGTTGAAGAAACACAGTGCAGTAAACTATGAAGAAACTTATTCTAAATCCATGACTTTTCTTTCTAAGCCACTCTATTATTTAAGATCTTAAAATATAAATATCCCAGATATTTTTATAACACTTTGAAGACAAACAACTATTCCTCCTTCCTTTCCGGTTGGGTGACTATTCATATTTTGAGCTTAACAATATAAAAAACTGATTTGTCATTGAAAATCACTTTACTGCTTTTCAAAATACTCTCCATTATGATCAATACACCTTTTCATGCGTTCGAATCATTTTTCATAATACATTTTTCACTGCGCATGATATATCTCCAAAACGTGCTTAATCAACAGATCCTTCTGATGAAAATCGTTGTCCACACAATTTATTCTTGACGTACAGAAACAAAAAGAGGTCACTGGATGCCAAATCAGACCTGTATGGAGGATCACCCATTGAATCAATGTTTTTAGTGCTCAAATATTCAATTGTTTCACTAAGAATAGGAAAGCTCGCATTATTTTGATGAAGAATGATCCAACGGTGCATGTTGACTTTTCTTATTTCACCAAAATAACAAATATCCTCTCAACGCATGGTAGAAGGATCAGGATTATTTCGATGGGGAACCTTATCACTTCTCAAGTTTGTCGAAATTTTATCTCGAACGCTATTGACATATGAACATGAAATTTGGCTGAGAGGTACCTTGCGGACAGGGCGCGTCAGCAGAGAACTAATTTTACGACAGGGCTGGATCGAGGAAGTTATGTGCACATACATATAAATGCGAAAGGTTTTTCGAACAGTCATGAAACCTCGAAAAGTATTTAGCCCATGAGCGGTAATTTTCGCAGAGAGGAAGTTTGTGCATTAAGCATCAGCTAAGAACAGATTTTGAAACTGGTCCAGAATGAGACTAAGGACAGATATATGTATAAAAAAGAAGTGATACACATTAAGCACCTATGATTACCTATGAATCTGTGACCTAAGGACAAATATATATATATATATATATATATATATATATAATACAATTAATGTATATATATATATATAATATATATATAAATATATATATAATATATATATATAATACAATTTGGATATCGGCAAACTTTGGACTCTTATCGTCAAAAGAGTCATCTAAAGCCTAAAAGTTTGCCAATTTCTCAATTAACAATTAATTGTATTTTTTGCCCAACTGGTCGTTGGCAATGTCAATGACTACTGCTTATATATATACAAGAGCGGATTCTCGGAAGCTGCTTAACCCATGAACATGAGATTTGGCAGAGAGGTAGCCCACGATAAAGGACTGTCAGCTAAAAATAGATTTTCGAAACCTGTTTGACCTACAATCATGACTATTGGCATGGAGGTAGCCTAGGAATAGGACATTTCAACGAAGAACGGACTGTGTGGCATTAAGGGCTTAAAGGGCACTAGCAAGTTTGTTTAAAATTGCTTGGAGTTTTCTGATATCTAAAAATTGACAAGGATGAGGTTCTGTTTAATTGATTTAAAATGCTGGTTTCAAAAAATTGGCAATAGTAATGTGTTAGCTTTCGGCCCCGCGACTTTACCCCCGCAACTTACGTATAGGTGCTCCATTACTAGGATAACCGATAGTCGGCTATTAATTTACTAATGCAATTATAGCAAAACTCAAAAGCAATGTTCTATGTTAGTAACGATCTAACGCTTACGAAGCCGCGAGTAACAGCTAGTTGTATGTAATAAGCAAACATGTTGGCTAATGGTATGCGTAGCTTAACTGTGCTTATAGGAAATTGCACACTGCGCAAGTCGATACGTAGAGCAGCTGCTACTCGCCCTTGCACACATGCATGGATTTAGTGATGAAGGATCGTTGTTTCCACTCAATTTCTGTGAATACTTCTAATATAGACTGTTGACATTGTAGTTGTATATTCAGGCAATAGCCATGTTTCATGTCGAAAATCAGCATGAGTAAACAAGCAAGTTGTCATACTGACTGTGACACGCATACATGTGGATGACCCATATATTACAATAATAGTGTTCATGTCGATGAAAAAAGCGTACGAGGTCTGTAAATTAAGTGACATAATTTTTACCCTCAAAATTACTTCCTTCTGAAGGCACACACCTCTGGAGATGGTTCCGGAATATAGCTTTTATCCCAGTTGTTCTTGATTTGATAAAGGGTGGTATGTGAATTCTGTTGGTGTTTTCATCGGTTCTTTAGGATCAAGGCTTTCCGCTTCCATCGACCCCCACCGTTCTGACAATGCCTTAAGCCACGGAAACCACCAAACGACTCGAACGAGATCCAACTTATACTGAAGTCGGGCCACATATTGCCCTGACTCCCGTCCAAGCCAGGCACCTCCAGCGTTGTAAGATCGAACGCTTCGTTGCCAGTCTCATTACTTGATTTGCAGACCTGTCTTTGAGTTCTCACAAACGACAGCGCATAGAGGCCGATTGCATTAATACTTATCTGTGAGAGAGACTGACGTACAAAATCAATTCATGTAGTCTGGGTGTGACCCGCCAAAAACCGTGAAAAGACCTATACATAGAAAATGGAATTTAAATATCACAAAATTAACAGGCAATTTTTTAATACAGAGCATTCGAAAAGAATTCCACTAAAAACCTCAAAACTCGATTCAGGAGAACACCTGGGTTCCGTCTGAGGCTACTCTACTCATCTATAACATACAGTCTAAAAAACAGAACCTCATTCAAGCTACTTCTGGTTACTCAAAAATCTAGCTATTCCTTGAAGTTCTCACTGCTTCTCTAGTCATAAGTGAAACAGCGCATATACAGCAAATATGTCACATCGTCAGGTTTTTTTTGTTATTTAACTTGTCACCCAGGTGCGGTTGTAGTGACGTTTTATATTTACGAGTATAAATGCTGGCTGAAGTGTCTGTTGAAAAGGAAAATACATATCAGAAGTGTGCGAATTAGAATAGTCGAGATCCTTGGTGAGGTCAGGACAGCATGTTATGATAACCACTTACACACGCCAAGACGACATGCGATTAATCTTACCATGAAATTATGTGTAACTTTCCATGAGCCCCACGCTGTTGTAAAGGTACGTAATATGATTGATACATTCTTTATATTAGTTTATTTGTGCTCTTGCGCAAGTGTAGTATTAAAGAAGAAGACACTATTTACCACATACTGATACCTGACACCTAAAAATGGTAGAAAATGATTGAATTTAGTTTCGTAAGCCAGTCATTGACAAATATGGCGATACCAAACGTGGAGCCTTTACAATTTAATTGAATGATTCTCTCATAGACGTCCGTAGGCTTGACAGGATGAGGTCATCGTTTGTGGTATATTTCCATACCTTACTGCAAGGTTAAACTCCAAAGTGCATAACTATATTTCCCACTTACCACAATTTCGGTTGAGGACTCGATCAGTACTTTGTGTCTAGCCTCTGATCCTTGTTGTATTATACGAAACGTTTTAAGAATCAGTAAGACAACAAATAGAAAAATCGCTTAGCCTCATGCTTTCAAATGCCGAACTTATCCTATCACTGAATAACTTAAGGTCAGAGGTGTATAACCTCCTCAATCGGTGGGCTTTTCGTTATAGAAAATACTACTACTCATTTGGTAGATCTGAAGATAAATCATACAAACCATTTTGAAGCTACTATGGAAGCTAACACCGTTTGGATCGTATATATCGCGCCTATGACCATTTTTATGTCATGCCAAGCATTCCTCATTATTCTTCAGTAATAGAAAGCTCCTTCCTGGTTAAGCAACTGTGTATCAGAAGCTGAATACAGCAAGCTGTCTCTGAAACCTGATACGCACTAGGCTGGTGGCGAATTATTTTGTTAGATAACAATACCTCACTTCAAGATTATTATTAGTTATTGCGATATGAGATTCATCTTTACGGAGCCTTGCTATATGTACAACAAAAACTGGGGTTAAGTGAATTTTGTTTCTTTGTATCTGCAGGGTGCACGATAACAGCGCCAACTAGCGCATGTCGGACAAAAATATTTGTGCTTGACACGTGCAATATAAAAATAAATGGAATCATGTTTTTTGGGGCCGTAATAAAAAAATCTCACGTTCCGCGGATAGAAAGCTTCCCTTCCGCACTTTGAACCAAATATGCCCCCTTTCCATTAATTAACTGTGATATGGGGTATTTTTTTTAAAGCCGCAATCCTGAGGAACTTTTGAGCTTGTTCTGAGGGAATGCTGTCTGCCCCATCTGACAACGCGTTGACATATCTGCCTTATAAACACTTCACTAATAATATGAGATCCAGCCGCTTGGATCTGCAGATATGTTTTTTTTTATAAAACTTGAGTTTTATGAACGATAAATAATAGTAGAATGGCTGCTGTAATATTTATTATACTCTCAATCTTGTGCTGCCTCCCTGTTAGTCCAAAGCCCACCACGATGCATACAGCGAACACAACAACTTTCCGAATACTTCATAACGACAAAGCTTGACACTAATGATATTAAAAATATATCAAGTGACACACAACTCCCACGCGTTAAGAAGCATGATGTTCTGTATTCGTATTTTGTTGTATTATTCGATACTCATTCATAGTTACTGACAACGCTTCTAAGGGATTCATTCAATTTCTCTGTGTACTTCGTATAAATTATTGAAGCTATAAGTCATTGAATGTGTGTAAGCAACAAGTAATTTTAAAAAAAATGGTCCCACTGTGATTTTCTAACAACTGCTAATGTCTTGCATTAGCATCAGTTGGTTTTTTTCGTGCAACTTTGTCAACAGTAGAATATTAACTTACAAGTTACCAATGCATAGAAATGTCCCTAGAGCAGTGCGGTTGTTTGTGTATTTAACTGTTTACAGCTATACCTTTAATTGTGATCTAATGTTGGATGGTTGGTGATTGAAACTATTTTTTGATTATTGAAACCATGTATTCTGGAGAGTAAAAACTCAAACCAACATTCGTTTAGGTCGAGGAAACCCTGTCGTCGTACAACTGCAAGCGATAGGATACAATTATATTGCAGACCATGCCGCCTTGAAAGTGCAAGGGCTTGCATGTAGTGGTCTTTCGGACTGTAGAACGGTTTTTAGATCACTTCACTCCAAACGAATCAATCACCCTGTAACTGCCATAAGTGACAAACAACTGTCCTATTTTTTACAGTCATATCTTTCAGCTTATATTTTTTACGCGAAGAACAAATAGCATAAATGCAAACCGTGGACGGAAAAAAGAGATTAACCGTTGACTGGCAGAATGTGATAGGAGATCAAGTTTGCGGTTCAGGAAAATTTTCGATATTCCGTACTTTAGCATACAATAGATTTGTAGAAAACTATGGACAAGTCGAGTTTAATATGGGACGAACACGATATTGTACTGGCAGCTCCTACGAGGGATCTGCGAATGCATTAGGTAAGTATCCTGCAAGGTAGTCCAATAGTTCCGTACCCAAAGCGGTATATCTAAAATTTGGTGATTTTACACATAGAAAATATAGAAAAAGTCGCAAACCTGAATCAAAGGATTTCAGATAGCCTTTTCCCTTCATCCACGCTTTAAGCTTTATGTTGTACGCCAAAAAAGGTGATCTTGGGTCTCAATAGTTACCTTCAAGACTAACGTGACATACGTCACTAGGAATAATACTAAATATAATAGTAAAGAAAATCGGTGGCGGATCCAGGGGGCTATCCCGGGATTGAATTCGCTCCCAAAATATTGGAGTATAAAAAAATGTTTTGCAGACAACCCCGCTCTTCAATTTTGTATCATCGACCCCAATCTCGCTCTTCTATTTTGAATCGCCGATAGCCCACCCCTGAGACAAACTTATTCTATGCTTCTCATCCACCTAGCTGTTTTTTAAGCGGGAAATTTCATATTCACCATATTCACCCAACGTATTTTCTAGATCCTTCCCTGTCGAAAATGTGTAAAATAGTATATGCTATTTCTGGCACAAAAGGAACTGTCTGCTCACCATCTCCATCACCATGACCAACCGCGTACAACGGTGTTTCATACTTCAACGCTTAGAAAACCTGCAAACTGAAATCAAATTAGCAGATATGGCCTACTAAAGAGCCCGTGTAGGTAATATTCTATGTGCAGTTTCCCAAAGGCGGGATGTTGGTAACAATCCGCTCCGTTCTGTTTTCCAAGGCTAGATTTATTCCGTACTGATGCTTCCTAATATGCATGAAACAACGTCGTATGCATTTCGTCATGGTGACTAGTTGGTGCTCCGTGTGCCTATTATGATGGACGACAGTTGAGATGCCTAATTCAAAAAACCATATTATCAATCATCCACAAAATGAGCAAATTTACCCAAATTATGCCCATAAAGTGGTACGTGGTCACGTAATGTTTGATATCTTGTTTGCGAGAAAATATGACTCCAATAGCTCTTTGAAAAACAAAGAAAGTTTCTTTGGTTTAGTATTTTTGATGACCATTTCGGATGTTTTGCTTCACTTCATCATAGTTCGATGCCGGTTTGAACAGCAAAGCACACATATCAAACATTACATGAGCTCTGCTGGAATGTAAATGTTTGCTTTCCATCTTTGTATTCATTACCAACCGCAAACAACGCTGTTTCATGCTCATTAGCAGCTAATAGTGCGATATTTTTCCTTCCTTAACTTCGCTTAAGATTCTCACAGCATAATGTTCATTATTTTTGCCTCAATCGGGTCAACACTTGTATCAGTTTTTTCTGTATGTTGGCCCTTTTTGCAATTACATTTATTATTTAAATGAGTTACTGTAATTACTGGTTGTAATTGTGAATAAATTTGTTTATTATTATTATATAGGTCTTAGGTCTAGTCCTCGTCTTGGAAACATGCAAAACAGCGTAAAGAAATTTGAAGTAGAATATATAGTGTGATCATAACCCACATATGTCCTGTAAAGATAAACATTCGCTGCCATACCTAGGCATTTATGGACTGCTGACCAATAGGAGCGTACGAATTTGAACTTCGCTCGCTTTTGCTAGCTTTGTCTGGTTCTTAAATTGGATTTGAATATAGTACTGTAGAGTATAGTAGATCTGGTTCTTTCCTTTGAAGGTTTTTCTGGTCTTGGACGGTATACATATCCACACGGAGCGATCTACACAGGCTTTTTCAAGAACGGACAGTTTCACGGGGCAGGTGACCTAATCTACCCCAAAGGACATCGCCTGCAGGGGATTTGGGAGAAAGGCAGACTGATACGCAGCAAGTTTATCTTCCCAGATGGACTGGAGTACGATGAACATTGGAAGTACTGCAAATTCCCTAACAGATTCTATCATGGGGAGAATGAGGAACGAGGAACTGGTTGTCTTGATCGTTATAAGGATAGGTTCGACCACATTGAGTTGAAAGACAATGAATACTTTACGGGAGATGGGATATTTGACGGTGCGCAATTTACATTTAACTTCTATCATCTGAATTCCGATCTTCGAAATTTATTTCGATGACCCCTGGCTGTTATACTGTCAAGATAATTTGAATACCATAGATAGGTTGTCCAGTGGGAAAGTTCACTATTTGATTTAAGAAAAAAAATACAAACTTAACGAAAAGTAAATATTTATTACTATCAACATATTCGTAAGTCCGGCGGGTTTTATTTCTTAAATATCATTCTGTCCAAATGTTTGCCATCCCTTCGGACACACTCTTCTAATCGCGCGCGCAAATTCTGAAACACTCTCTTGGAGAGTTCCGGAGTGATGTTGTTTATTTCTTCTCGTCGAATGTTGTCTTTAAGCTCCTCCAGTGTTCGTGAATTATTGGAATACACCTTTGACTTTAGATAACGCCACAAAAAATAGTCGCATGGCATCAGGTCGGGTGACCTAGGCGGCCAGTGAATGTCTCCAAACTTAGATATAACTGTCCATCGATTCTCTGGAAGTATGGGCAGTGGCCCCATCCTGTTGAAATCATGTGTTTCTGTTAATTTGACGTTCTGCTCTTACAATACCAGCAAAAAAGGTGTCAATCATGTCCTCGGAATTGACTGTCAATGCATGACCATTTTCATCTTCAAAGAATACCGCTAGAGGATATGGTGGGGGCAGGAATGAGTTGTCTAACAGTAGAGAGCCTATTTCAGGGAACTTATTAATCCGCTTTTTTAATAGGTTCTTACTTGGGCATCTCCTGGTAGGCGAATATAATATCCTGTACAAAATTTCCGAAGGGCAGCTGCGTATGAATCGCCGCTCTTAGAGTAAGCATCGATAGCAAAAACACATTGCGTTCCGGTCCAACGTTCCATTGTGACTACTTAATCCGCACGCCGAACGCGTCGATCAAGACATTTCCCATTTCCTCGCGTATACGGTTACCGCGTAATTCACTGGACACACTGTATGTATAAAGGAAAGGCGACTTCAAAATTAATTTCAGCTGTCGAAATTCAGTTAAGAAGTGAACAAATTTCTAGCTTTAAACTTTTTTTAAGCCTTCAGTGCTTATAAATTTTCATAGTCCGGATATACTGTTTGACATTTCCGACCTACTTTCATGGAGTGCTGTCAGATTGCGGAATTATTGGATTCCTAATTAATGTAAGCTGTCGCGATGCCTACAGTTTCGTCAGTCATTCTTATCCGATTTTGTACTTATCTGGAGAGAAATTCTGAGCAAGTGCGTGTCTACACATTTCAGACAATATTGCCAAGATATAGTCGAGACATATTACTTTAAATCAGTGTAATGTCATCGGAAATCGGTATAATGCCAGTTTGCGTGAGTAGTCGCTAGCCCATCTTGCACTCTTGCTAACAGCGCCACCTAGGGATAAATGGCACTGCGACCATCATAGAAGCTATGAATGGCCCTCACTCTGAAGCGGATGTTACATCACATTAGAGCCTCACCATATAGCTCAAATGTCATGACGCTTAGGCAACACGCACAGCCACTACAAGTGAACATGGTTAGTTACAAGGTGACATTTTTTGGAAAAACCTACACAATGTCAATTGAAACCGATTACCTTTTAAGTTATATAATACGGGTCCGGGCCATAAATATTGCCCATTTAGATGCTCCATCAGAAATATATAACATAAAATATTTTGTGACAGCTGACACCAAACGTATCCGCACCCTCGACAACAAGATTCTCAGGGTGGTATCCTGCAAAGAAGAGGCCATAATTAAGAATGAGTTCAAGAGAGGCGGTGACCATAATGTAGGGCTGAAGCGAGATCTGTACGAACACTGGATATTGGGCAGGCAGAATGAGGTGGAACAAATACTTGCAGTTGATGATGCCTCAACATCGGACCATATCGAGTCTCGACACTTGTTTGACCAGCCGGAGAATATTAGTGACTGTACGCTGGTGCATTACTAAAAATAAGATCGAAATTGGTAATCAATAAAGAGCTGGTAACTAGGACCAAGCTGTTCTTTCCTTGGGAAGCATAATATGCTACTTGTCTCATCAATGCGAGTATATAATTTTACATCTGGCTAGAATTGCGACTTATAGACCTGCTTGTATTGATCGACCAGCCAAAGATTGCTAGGGACGAAAGGGGGAAATGCGATGAAAAAACCTTACCATTAGACGATTTTATATGGAGTCATAGGCGGAGATCGGAGAGACTTGAATTATTAATTGAATTTATATTTTATTACAACTGGTAGTATTAATATTTTTTTGCGATTCATAATGACGTGATACCAAACATACATTATAAGAAATAAATATACACAAACACTGAATATTGAGAACAAAATAAATATATTTTTTAGGCAACAAGTAATATTCCTATGTACGCATTATGATTGAACAGCAAAACAAATTATGCATTCTTCTAAAATAGAATACAACAAGTCAAAAATATCTGACTGAATAGAAAAATATAGAAAAACAAAAAGTAATTTCTTGATGAAATAACCCATAAACAACACATAGAATTAGACTTTCTACTGAGATACTAAAAGCCACAAACCAATAGTATAATAAATGAATATCTAAAAATTCTAAAAGGTAGCCAATCTAGTATAGTTTCAATCCTGATTAGAGTCATGATCACTGTCTGAGGAACTGTCATTGCTATCACTTTCACCTCCTATGTTGATTATTATTTCTTCCTGTATTTCTTGAATGAGACTGTCTTTTTCCCAATATTCATCTTCAATTTTTATAACATGTCCAATAACCTGTTGCCAGTCACTGGCACTTACTGAAGCGATGGCCTTATTAGAAATTTCATCTAGTTTTTTTATAGTAAATTCGCCGCTTGTATTATGGCTTCTAATGAAAAATTTTACTTGTGCCCAAATCATCTCTATGGGATTAAACTGACACATATAGGGTGGCGTTCGAAGTGGGGTGTGTCCGAAACTTCTTATTAAATTATCTATCTTATAATTTTTCTCATCAGATGGTGGCCTATGTAGACAAGCTATTTCATAAAGCTCCATTTTTTTAGCATTAGGATCATGCTCTATACCTTTTTTGCTCAACCACGTGATGATGTCTCTTTTTAGAGAAGATCTAGTTGGAGGCTTGTCTTCCAAAGCTGAATGGTAAGGTGCATTATCCATTATTATAATACTATTAGGAGGAATGTTAGGAAATAGTTTTTCAGTAAGCCACTTCGTGAAATTTTCTTGGTTCATTTGACCGTGATAATCACCAGTGGCACAGCCAGCCTTGAAAATGAGACAGGCTCCAGGAACAAAACCATCTTGCGAACCCGCATGAACAATTATAAGTCGTCCTGGAAACGAATAAATAGCCTCATTTTAGTGTTATTTTAAGTTTGCCAACACCTTTTTGAATCACTATGTATAAAAAACATATTTTTGAGAAAAAAATACTTGCAAGGGATTATGTATTCAATTAGACAAATTAAATGAGCACTTATTAAGAATATTCCAAAATTGAGAAAAATGTATAATAAGCAAAATCGAGGTGAAAGAAACTTTATTACCTGTAGAACTTATATTGCTCAGGACACCCATAATTTCTTGAAAGTGAGGTCATTATCAACCCAAGTTTCGTCCAAATAAATAATATGCCTTCCTTCTTCCCGGAACTTTTTAATAGACCTAAGATACTTGTATCGCCAATGTAAAATACTGGGTCTTTCCATTAGTAATTTCCTTTTGTTGTGGCATTTACGCCAGTAAAATCCTTTTGCTTTTAAAAGCAGCCTCAACGATTCTTTACCAAATGGAAATTCCATTTCTTCCTTCAGTTTGATTAGAAGTTTACTACAAGTAGGTACCACTTTAAAATCACAGTAAAATTTTTCTATCATTCTCCGAATAATGGAAAAATCGACTCCATCAATTTTTTGGATCACAGAAGGGCGTGATCTCTTTTTTCCGGGAGAAGCTAAAGGCTGTGTGGAGGTTGCATTTTGCCTGTCTTTATCTTCTTTTCTAATTTTACTTATAGTTCGTTCACTAACACCCGTATAATATGCCGCCCTTGCATTTCTAGCTACCAGTGGATAAACGAAAGTATTGTTAGCCGCTTCTGCATCGCAAGCACGTATCACGTTTGCTATTATTTCCCTTGCCTGGCTGTGAATAACTTTCCCATGCTTGAATTCCATTATCACCACTAAACAGTAAATTATATTTTCAAAGTATTTGCCAACTGCCTACGCCTATGGGAGTAGGTTTATAAATGACCGTGCCATCGGCACGTTATTCTAGTTTCAGATAAGATAAGAGTTTTGGACCAATCAGCGACCGGATGTTTACCTGCGGCCTGGGTTTTCCAGCTACATTGCCAAATTCAGCGGAACAATTCTATATCTTAAATATGTTAATATGTATGGACCGCATTTTATGTAGAACATCTGACAACTTCGCAATTTTTTGTCCGCATTCTTTCGGCTTGCAATCTTTCGCTGGTCCAACATTACTCGCTTCGTCACGTGACAGAGTCCTTTTAGTAATTTCTGTCGTTTTGGAAGTACGTATGTGGTTCTAGTGCGTTTGAGGACCAGACAAACTGCTATAAGTATAGTCGTTTTTGTAGGCGGTAGACATACATAGGTATAGTTATAGTCGCCGTTCTCGGCGGGTCAGTTCATATATCTCCATCTCTCTCATATATGCACATACAACCTACCCGTGTGTGTGAACGTTTGTTCGGTAAGCTCAAAGACGCTTTTTAGTCGTGTGTCTCCGACTCGAGTATGATACCTCCACGCCAATGATCGTATCGAGATTTTAAAAACGCAAAATTGAAGCTGAATAAGCGGGCTATCCGATCCGTGTGATGGCCTAGATGAAGAAAATGTTTTCAAGCCGGTGAAATAAAAAGGAGGCAGATATTTTGCAAAATTATTCTGCGCTATCTGAAGAAACTGCATGAGAACAGCTGCAGGCCTTGAAAACTAGGAGCTCCTAGCTTCAAAATACTTCTTTTTAAGTCTAAATCTGAAATACAGCTTTTCAAAGATCACCAAAAAAATTTAATTTTTTTCTTGTTCGCTTAACTTTTTGAACAGTGTATTTCGGCATAGAGAAAGCAAACATGTATTTCTAGTGACTTTTGCGTGGAAGTAACTAAGACATGTGCATCGAAACCTTTACGTGGCATAACGTGGGCTGAAAGTGAAGTGATGTCCAATATTTATTGTTTCTTATAAATTCCTCATGCAAAAATAACATTGTAAGTTCCGGTTCAAGTGCTTCAAGTATTGCTTAAACCCCATGACTCATGCAGAAAAGTCAAGGGAAATTCTAAATATAAAGGGTTGGCCATCAGTTGGTTTTCTTTAAGTTGGTGTTATTTTGACAGTTGGTAGCTCTTCCATGCTCAACATATTTACAGATATATTGTGCCAAGCTTCCGCTGTGACCAATGGCCTGTTTGTCGATAACAGAAGGTATGAGCTTGTTCGACCCGTACATACAGCCGAAAACGTTGATGCTGTTGCTCAGAATGTGCTGAACACGCAAGAATGTCAACTCGTCACAGAGCACAACAAATGGGTATCAGTCTCACTCCTGTGCGAAGAATATTGCATAACGAACCGGGATTATTTCCTTTCAAGGTGCAACTTGTGCAAGAGTTGAAACAAAATGACTTTCCACTTTGATATCGTTTCTCTGTGTGGGCTCTAAATCAATTGGAAAGGTCGTCAATTTTCGTCGCCAAATCATCTTTTCGAACGAAGCCCATTTCTATCTGCAAGGTTTACGATAACAAGCAGAACTGTAGGATTTGGGGTACATAAAAATCAACATGTCATAGAAAAATCAATACATCCAGAAAGAGTAACTGTTTGGTGTGGCTTTTGGAGTGGTGGGATTATTGGTCCCTACTTTTTTCAAGGTGGTAGCAGCGTAACGCTAAACGGGGAACGCTACAGAGACATGTTGTGGCCGCTATGTGTCGTGAAACAATCTATCTTTTACACATTAAGTTTGGTTACCGCGTTATCAGCCGAGTTTGAGAAGTTCATTGGCCAGCCCGCAACTGTGATTTGACGCCTAAGTATTACTTCCTATGGATTACTGTTAAGGACCCCTGTTACTCTGACGATCCTCAAGCAATTGATGTTCTTAAGCAAAATATCCGTCGAGCTATTGATTAAATAGACCCACAAACTATCGAAAATGTGCTTCAAAATTGGGTGAAGAGGATGAACTACTTTCAGGCCAGCGGCGGCAGTTATTTAACTGAAATTGTGTTTGAATAAAGTATCGAGTGTTACATATTATTGAAGAGCGTGGTTTTATTACCAATTTAAAAAGAAACCAATGGATGGCCTAAGCTTTATAATGCGTAACCTATGTTAGTAAGTATAATAGCTTATTTCCAAATATCAATGTTGAATCTGAAGTTCAGAAACATACATATATCTGAAAAAGTCGCCATACTACAACTGCTTCATATTATTTAACAGATCACCGGTTAAAATTTAACAAACTAGTAATTACATTTCATTTAAAAAAGAAGTTTAGAAAAAAATTCGTTTTGGATTGGCTGAGTACTTAAAATGTACGAACTTAAGCAGATAAGGATGGTATCAACAACCATTCATTTGTATTGTCACATATTTATTCAACTCCATTGTATATGACTAAAGAATGAAGAAGCCGTTTCCAAAGCAGGTGCATCATCCGGTTCCTCTAAGACATTTTATGAATTTTATCACTTTTACATCTGAAACAGCACCTTTAGCCATTATTATCAATGACGCACAATTCTCAACTTAGAAAGGACTACAACAGGGTCGAAGCTTGGATTGTCGTATATATGGAACTCAGACAAAGCTGCTTATCGTGATCTGCTGATGGGTCGGTAAATTTAGTACCAGTTTCACAACGAGAATATTGGCTTGTAACCATAACGCTCTAAGGATGCTATTCTACATAGTGAAAAATGTTTTTAGTTCCAGTTATTAAGTCATTGCATGAT